TCTTTGCAGTAGGGCTGGGGAAGCGACTGGCCAAATAAAAATAAGATCTGTAAAGACAACTGCAAATTGCCTCATTCTGTTGGAATGACTTCTTAAATAAACAATATCACCAATGCATCCTCAGTGCTGGAAGCTCTAACACTTACCTTACAATTCATTCAGGTACCTGAAATCTGAGACCTACAGTGAATCATCTCTAAGTCTTTATAGCAAGACAAATCTGCTTACGTTAATTATTCAGATGACATTACAAAAGCAGTACTGTCATTCTGACCCAAGTAAGCCTCAGTGCTGCAGTTACAGCTCTCTATTTTATCCTCTGCTTAGAGTTTGTGGTGGTCTTCAGCTGATTACAGTACCCACACCACAAAAAGCACAGCACTGTGTTTTTATTAGCAGCATTTCTTCAATCAGTTCCATGTGAGCAAGTCCTTGCAGCTATGAAGACCCTATAGAGTGCCACAGTGTAAACAAAACTCAACATCAACTGGAGAATCCATGCATGAACCAGGTATTGTACTCAGGCAAACAAAACAATCCCCCCGAAACCAAACAAAAAAGTCCACCCAACCTCCTCTCAAAAGAAGGATGTCAACATGGAACTTATTATGGTGAAGACACATTTGCAAATGTATTTTTTTTTTATAACTCACACTACATGAATTTGTAGCTTTCAATACTTACCTCAGCTCAGCAGTGAACAGAGTACCTTTTTATCAGTGCGTCTGGCTCAATATCTGATTTAATCTCATCTTCAGCATTCATGTATAACTCAGCCACAGACACTCCAGCCTAACTTTTATGTAGGCAACTAAATATGTAGGCAATGCAGGGATTTAGATAGCAGACAAAAAAAGATATTTAAGCAAAAGCTGTCTTTTTCTTAATCCTTATTTTTGGTATTATTAATGCAGAGCTCTTAAGGTTCTTACTCTGAAAAGTTCATAAACATAAACAGGAATCCTTTCAGCACGTAAACAGTGGGTATTAACTAGTCAATATTGGTAAAGTTTAAAGACCATGCGTATTACTGGAATCTATTTGTCGTCTTTTCAGCTTATGTGCCCATTCCTTGATAAGTGTGGAAAATGCATGTAGCCTTTCAGAGAAACTGCTTGAAATGCAAACTGGTATATGCCAAAACCAACCCCACTATATAATTTGGTATTCTGAATGCTATTTTTTGGTCAGTGAGCAAATGCAGTGTTTGAGAAGAACTCTCATGCGTACACAGAAAACATCCAACAAAGCAGAAAAAGTCATTTTCACGTCAACAAAGCTATTATCTAGGAATATAAAAGTATGGAAGGCTCAAACTGGGCTAGCTGTGGCTGAAGAGCTTCTACATATTTGATATATCTGTGTGGAGATTAGCCTAAAATTTATGTCAAATGGTAAACCATGGATTTTTCAAAACACTGTTCAAAACCAAAGCAGATACTAAGTTGTTTTCCGATAACTGTTATTATAGTAGGCTAAAAAGTTGCAATTAAAATCTGTAACACCAACATATCATCAACTGACAAGAGAAATCCCAATCGCACTGAAATCCAATCTTTATTATGGGAATATGTAATAAGGTATAAGGTGGCATTACACTTAAGAGATGACTGATCTGCAGAAGTTCACCCACCCAAGACTCATGACTGCTGTAAGACAGGACAGGGAGGGAATGCTACCTGCTCGTACTGCTCCTCTATTAACCCTTGGAAGTCTTGGTACCTCTTAATGGCTCTGTGATTTTCCCTTTATCAGATTTTTAGCTGGACTTTGAATTTACTTTTATCAATAACAATAAATCTGAGCAGTCTCCCTGGCAATGCAGGAAATATGGCACTGCTCTAGGAGGGCTCTATTATGGAAGCCCATAATTGCTGCACTAATCATTTATGAATGGCTCAGAACAGATAATTAATCTTTATGTCTCTCATTTCACGATCAGAAATTATGCTATTTTTACCTAAAATGGCTGCATCCTTTTGCAATTTGGTGGGTCTATTACAGCATAATACTAGGATATTTTCAGCACTGCCATTGAAAAACAATTTGTCATTTGCTTCATGAATCAGGCTCAAAGCCTGGGTTATTTTGAATATAATGACAGACTGAGTAACCTTTTACTTAAGCAGAATTTCATTCTGGGCTATGCACAAGGAATGTGTGTCACATACTCTGTACGAAAAGTCTTTGAATTGCAGAATCAAGAACCTGCGTGTCTCTTCCAATGTTCATTATCCACCCACATGCTCCTGTTTAAGTATTGAGGGAAAGGCGGCCAAATCCATCACTGATGCAACTGCATTAACATCAGCGAAGTTTTCCAAAGGGTAAATAACCTTCCAGGCTCAGCTCTAGCCATCTATATTAAAACCTCACGTATTTCTAGATAGCCCTAGCCTTATCGTTCGCCAAAGGTTCTGCTTTGCTGTGGTACAGTTCTCATTTAATTTGTTAGTAAGGTGCAGTTACACTCCTAATTCCATATAGATGTATACATTATGTCAATTTAGAAATGGATTTCTGTACAAACTACCTTTCATTATTGGCAGGTGTTTCATTTGTTTTCAAATTAAATCCTTCAGTTCTTTAAAGTACTGCTGTCCACAGTAATTCTGTTTTTTCCCCCTACTGCAGTGTTAAGCGGCGAATTGAAACTGAAATAGTATCATGATTAATGTTGGGCTTTCTCCTTTGAACCTTATTTTAGGAGCAACACTCTCATGTCACAATGTCTTCATGAATACCAGAGAACGGGGCAAGACTGTTTTCTCTCTAGCATCTTTCCTGGCTTTATCAACAAGTTATCTTAAAAATGACTACGTCAGCAAATATACAACACAACGCTGTGGCTGTAAATTATGACCTGGTGCAAGATACAGAGGGGAATTAAAAGGTCTCCAGAATCCTGGAGAAGATGACAATAAAAATAATAATATCCAGGCAGTCGCTACAGAGAAGTATAAATTCCCTAGACCTTCCCTGGAGAAACAATATAAAGTTGCATTTTTAAAAGGTGTTAGTGTCCATTGCTGTCAGGACCGAGCACAATTTGAGGTACAGCTCAGTGGAAAATCCATACTTTTCTTTGAGTAAGAGCTCCAAAAAAATCATCCCAAATCGAAGCTTCAAACTAGCTGTAAGAGAAACCCTCACACTTGCATCCCCATCGCTGCAAGCTTTCTTTTTCGGGTGACAGCCTGCAGTGCCACCCAAACCCACATACTCAGCACCATGTCAGATGTCCCCAAAATCTTTAAATCTCATTCACAAACTCACAAGGTACCCAATAAAAGATGGAGAGGCTGCTTTGCAGGCACAATCACTTGATATCGACTCTTCTGTTACATATTCCTGTTGGAAAATACAACAGCACACCAGGCTAAGTGCTAAGGTATTGGTCATGCTGCTCAGATCTAAAGGGGAAAGCAGATCCCCATCCACTGGACCTTCTAACCTACTTATTGGAGTCAAAACCATTCCGTATCTTAGTTCCCCGAAGCAGGTTTCAGCACTGGAGAAATGATGGGAAGATTTACTTTTCCTTGATCAACTGACTGTAATGCACAAAGTCTAATTAGCACTCACAATATATTATAGCATCATATGCTGGCAAACAGAAATAAAATACCTGCAAAGTCTGCTGCCAACAGATCCACCGCCTTTAAAACTTTGACTTGTAAGAAGCCAATGTCCTTTAAGTCCCGAAAGGAATTCTTTATACACTGCAAGGAGGAAAGCATAAAGATACATGTTATTTGTAATTCAGTAAGAAACACAAAATATTTAACTACTAAATAACTTACATGTTTATATCCATTGCTATTTCTGCAGTGTTTCAGTTCAGCAGCTGATATACCCATAAATACATCTCCACTATCCCAGTCTCGCTACATCATGACTCTGAGGTTCACAACTTCACACACTACCTGCTCCTAACGAAGTTCTCCACTCACACACAAAACGGGACATAGGTAGACCTGGAGAAGCAGCATGGGTTGGGAAGGCAGCACACTCAATCAGGCATGAAGAATCTGTCCTCAAAAACTTTGACTTACATGGTTCAGATTCCTCATGCCTCAGTCTCTCTCATTTTAGAGAGATACACACTTATTCCTTCTCTCCCAGCTTTTACGGATTGAGGTGTGGAAGCCATCATATGGCTTTATCTTCCAAAAGCTGAAAGTCCACAACGTATCCTCCCCAAAGAAGGAAAGAAAGCTAAGTGTACTATGATCTCTCCGAGATATTCGGTGTGTCTTATTCCCCGTGATAATCACTTAATACAATTCAAGTTTGCAAAGAAAAGTATTAGTTTAAAACTCAACAAATATAAGCAGCCAAATTACTTGGGTCTATCTGCCCTGCCAATCTCCTTGTCATTCTAAACATAACAACTACTCCGTGTAATAGTTTTCTCTGGTAGGAGACATGTTATTATGACTGGACAAATTATTTTTTTTTCCCCCTGCAATTTTGAGTACTTTCAAAATTAAGGAGAAAACAGGAAGAAAAAAAAAAAAAAAGAGCAAACTCACATAGCGCTGTGAAATCTGTTGCCTTTCACTGGGGTCTCCCAAAGGGCAGACACACAGATCAGAGATAGACACTCCTGTACACGGGGCAACAGCAATCAGCATTAGCAGGGACCCTGGATGTTTTTCCAGAGGCAGCTCTAAGCAATTGGTCTGCTTCATCGGCAGGGCAGTAACATCAACTTGGCACCTAGAACGACAGTGCCAAGGGTTAATAAGAAAAAGAAGCTGGAAAAAAAAAAAAGCAACATTTATATTGACTTCAGTAGCAAACAGGCACCAAAACTTATTGCTTGTTCAAGATGAAAAGAACGCAAAAAAAAAATCTCAAAATTAAACATGGGAAACCAATTAGCCAGTTTCTATTGCACTTACTGTCAAGTTTTGCTTTCTGGTTCACCTACGGGTAAGCAGAGGTAAAAGGTTTGGGCTGCAAGTACAGTAGGAAAACTTAACTCTGGCCTGCCTCACTTCCCCTCTAAAATCCCCCAGTGCTTTGTGATGGATTTGAAACACAATTTTATTTCACCTCGGGGAAAAGAAAAGGGGCAAACACAAAATTTAAAACATTAGCCTAAAATAGATTAGTTTCTTTAAAGTCACATACTCCATTTTATGCTACATTATACTGTATGCCCCAATCTCTTTTACAAGCCTAACTAGAGCTACATTTTCAGTGTACTGTTATATTTCCCAAAGGGAAGGATCGTCTTAGAAGTTCCCCCCACCCCCTGCACATAATATCTATCATTAACCTGAGACTTCCCAAAAAAATAAAAATAAGGAGGAAAAAAAGGGAGACATTCATAAAGAGACAATAATAAAAGATGACCATGGGCTAAAGCAGAGAGAGATCACTAGACAGCCAATTATACACGAAGGGAGCGGTTAAATGCAACAGAAAGCCTAATCACTTGGCTCGGCTAAATGCCTTCTATTTAGAAGTCCAGTAAATGGAGTGGAACTTTTTTGAACCTCTGTGGGGCTTGGCTTTTAAGAACAGGCTGAACAAAAGTTACAGATGAAAAAGGAAAAAAAAAATATTAAGGAGGGAGAAGCTTTGTTGCCACACTGCAAGGGGAATCACATTTCTCAAAGGGACAGTGAGCGGATGATGGAGAGTGAGAGCTTTTGCTCCGCTTAATGCCTGCCGACAAGTTTTTATTTAAACTAAACTTGTTAAGGTGTTGTCTTAATAGGCTAAAATTCCACAGGGTTCCCCCAGGTGGGTTTCTTCTGGGTAAATGGTGCATGTAGCATTCCTGATTGATCCCATTCCAGTAGTAGAGCTAGAGTGGTTTATACCCATCTGCTATAAATTGCATGCTTTCCGCTTCTTAACAGCCTATTTTCTGTGAATGCTAAGGCGGGCAAAAAAAAAAAAAAATCCCAAAACATTTCAGCCTAAAAACCCAAGAAGCTATGTTATGAAGTAAAAGTCATTGCTCTGATGAGTTTGTAAGTCATCCAGTAGCTCCGTGTATTAAAACACAGCTCTTTGTGTAAGCTTCTTCTGACCAGAATCAACAGGGATGACTGCCTTAAGTGCGCTCTTTGCTATTCACCGCACTGAACATACAACAGGTTGCAAGTTTACTCTTATTAACTGCTTTCAAGTGCTTTGAAAGAGAAAGAAAATAAACCAGGAAGAGTACCAACAGTGTTCAGCATGTAGGCTGCCTCTCAACACAATTTCCAAGTGTGAGAGGTTGCATTTAAAGCTCATTGCTATGCCTGGACTCTTCAGAAAGATATGACAAGAGAAGTTACAGCAGAAAGGAAAACAAAACAACAACAAAAAAGGCAAGCATTTGAGAAAAAGACCTTATCACTTCCACACTGGAGATCAACATCACCTTGGCTTCAGTAACACAGTTGCTTCTCAGACTGCAGCAGTCTTACTGATGGTTTAGGTATCAGTGCAAAAGGGGGAATGTATCGTTATCTTGGGTGTTGTGGGGTTTTTTTGCTTTTGTTTTTAACAGATGAAGAAAATGAAACAAGGAGAGGGGAAAACTCAGGGTCACCCAGCTGGTCTGTGGTTCAGCTGGCAATAGAGGCGACATCTCCCACATCAGCATTTCGTACACCACCCACTCACAGTCCACAACTGCAAAAAGCTGCATTTGCTTTTTTATGTTAAGAACTTTCCATGGGGCAAGAGAAAAAAGACAACTCATTCAGACAACGGTGCATCTCCCACCAACAGATACCCTCAGAAATATCTCATATCTCAAAAGCAAAGTTAAATATAATTCTAGCTTGTTTTGGTAAATTGGAATTGTTTCTCTTATTAAAAGAATTTGATTAGCCAAAGGTCAAAGAAAAGATCGAGTATAAGGGCGTGGGGGTAGGAGGGATGCACATGTGGAAGGGAAAACAGCAGGCGGTGGAGTATAAGCATTTCTTCCTCAAATCATGTCTGATTTCCGTGCAAACTAACTTCCTTAAAACATCTGTGTTCACTCAAGGTGATGGTATGCCTCTATTTTCTTTTGAGAAACTGGGGGAAAAAAAATTTCCACATTTACACTTGCAAATGGCAAAAGACTTAGGAAAAAAAAAAAGACAATCTGTTTCATTTAGGTTATACAACATAATTGATCAGACTGCAAAGAATGCAGCTTGGTAAAACAATTAGACATTCAATTTACTATATAAATTCAGCCATTTCCACACAAACACTTCTACACTATTAAAACGAGTCTCATGATTTCCAAACTGCTTCCCCCATCCTCCTGAAAGAGAAACTTTTTCTTTCCTTCCTTCTCAGCTTTCTATCTGCAAGACCTTGTTAAAGATAATTATTTCACAAGAAAGTAGTAAGAGACTATGGTGACTGGCACAGCATAAGACTAACGATGGCAACCCACTTTTTGCTCAAAAGTTGCCTGATCTGAATGCAAAGGGCAAAACTCTCAGATTATTTGTATTTTAGGTGATGCAAATGATCTCTAGAGTTAAATTCTCAACATAGTAATTCTATCTCAGAATAGGACAGCTCTGCTTGTTGTCATCTTTTGCTACATTACATATTAAATTCAGGTGTAATGTTTCACAAACATGAACTATAGTTCTGTATATAGTTCTGTAAGTTAAGAGTGCGTTGTGCACACAAATGTATCACTTTTTTTTTAAACCACAATTAATTAAATGCTTTCTTTCCTCCTCCTAATCAATACTGAGGTTTACACCTCTATATTGACCTGTAGTCCTGGAGAGGATTACACCACAACTTTAGTTTTCATTTAAGACTACTCTTTTGATTAAAAGCCCTTATCTTTAGCTGTCAAACTTTTTTTTTTTGCCTTTTTTTATTCATTTTGCAGAAAAAAATATTACTTGAGAACAGTACATACAAATTATTTAACTTTACCAGGGAATCAAATGTTAAAATTTCACTAAAACATGCTGAGCTTAGCCTCTTACCAGTAGTCAGAATTGTATTTTATTACGCAATACACGATTCATCAAATTATGATGAGAAAGTATCCTTAAATATAAATATATAAGAAAAAATCTGCACAAAACATTACCAATTTTTTTTTTCCTGCAGAATTCCTGAAAGCCCATCACAAGAGGTCAGAATCATTATCACAGTGTATGATTAATATTTGGAAAGGAATTTCAAAAGCCACAGGTGTCAAGGAGAGAATTAATAGGGTCTTATTCTGACTTATTCTACAGATAAGTTTTGGTTGTCTGATTCTTCCTATAACTTGGTGAAATTTAAATGAAAGGTTTGGATGCAACCTTAGTAGACTTTTCTGCTCATCCCAACAGCGCAGCCTTTAAAATAAAGATTGTGGTTGCAAAGACACTGTTTCCTGAAGGCATTCATCATAAAGATACTGGATGCACTCCAATCTCATAGCTCATGGTCTTAAGTCTAGCAGTTTTTGTAAAACCTCTTTCTTGAGCTAAATACGTGAAGAAAAAAAACCAACCCTAACATTTTGCAGTATCTCTTTTTCAAAACATATCCCCTGATGCAGAAACATCTCTAACAACCTGGCATAAACAATTTAACTCTGCCTGGACAAATTCTGCACATGTTAACACCTTTGTTTATTAATATACATTAACATCATCTCCTGTTTATAGCATACCTCTTATCCCAAAGGACACAAAAAGCACTCAATAAATGTTAGTAACAGTTCTGTGCAGACTAAATAAAGGGATTACTTCACCCAGCACCAAAACACAGCCACCAAAACACAGTATTTTAAGTGAGGCAGAGAAATTGGATCTAGTTGAAAATTTAAGGAGAACGCAGGTAGGCTGAATGTAATAATTTAGCTCGCGATGTGCACTGACAGCGAGGGTTTGCTCCGTGACAGAAGGGTGACATGATATTGCACCGAATGTTTCTTCGCTAATTCAGAAGCAGACAAAGGCCCCAGGTGTTAGTGTTTAGTACCGGAGGTCCAACACATTTCTTATTCTACATGCTCCATAGTCTCCGCAGATGCTTCAGGTCCTATTTCAAGAACAATATTTTACCTTGAAACTAAATTATGCCTGGGAGAAGAGCCATGTTCCAGGGGCTTAAGACATCCATCCTACATGAAATCCTGGGTCTAAAGGAATTAACAGAAGTCTTTATTTCACAAGACTTCAGCAATCTGGATTATCTGACCTGAATCCACGTTGTGCATCTCCTCAACTTCATTTAAATAGTGTGTGTGTGCATATATATATATATATGTTTAAAGGTCTAACCAACACAGTTCAAACTATACAGCCCTGAGGGAGCATAATGAATCCTAACTGTACCCACAAATTGACCACAGAATTATTAATTAAAATCCAGCAAATTTTGCCTTTTTCTTAAAACTGTGTAAATTATTTGAGGGCAGTTGAGTCACACTGCTGTAGGTAATGACCGAATATAACCCACAAACATTTTACTAAATAATCTTTCTTACAGTGATGTTGTGAAATTCAGAAATCTCAAAACTCAACTTGGAAATCATGGAGACAATAAACATGGCACCTCATAATGTTGTTTTGCCAACAGAATCTTTTTCCAGATTAGACTGCGCTTGAACCCTTCATAAAATATTATTTATTGGGTGTCAAAAGTTTCTACGCTGTACAAACAAGGCTTGTTGTTATGCATTTGGTGTTTACCTATTCTTGCAATAGCTCTTTAAAATCTAGTATAATTTTTTCCTGTTTTGATGCTACAGCAAATTTGCTGTGCTTAAGGCAACAACAGTAATATTTTCTCTCCACGCAGACAGCAAAAATAACTTCAAGGTAAATCTAACACACACAGGCTTTCCCAGGGCTGAAATCTTTAATAACAGAATAAGCATTTTGCTGATATTTTTTTTTGCCATATTGAATACCACCTGCCAGAAACCAGTAGGAAAAAGAAAAAAGGGGGGGGGGGAACCTAAGGAAGAATTGCTCTAGCATGAGGGAGACTGAGCAGAGGCAAGCCCCAAACACTGCCACATTTCCTAACTCTAAACAGAATATCAGAAGTAATAACAGTATGAGAATGGAAGGAACAGATTCATCTTCAGCCACTTCTCCACGTGATGAGCAACAGCATTCAGCCAGAAAGCATTTCCTGCTCTGCAAAACCACAAACATTTGTAGAGCCAAAGGGCATTGTTCTTTTCAGTGAATAGTTTCAAACTATTTGAATGCTTGAAGAGAATGTTCTTGTGAGTTACTGTTATTTAGTTAGCAAGTTGTGAAACGCTCACCAGGTGAGAACGACAAACGACTGCAGACAGGATCCCTGCCCCTAAGAATTTAGAGGTTGTGGCACTGATCCAGCAAGCGGATAAGCACGGACAGACCCAAGAGAGACCCCAGTAAACTAAATAGTTCTTGGTACTGCTGCATGTAGCCAACTGTGCAGATGCATTTTGAGGAGGTGGGTCTAGATGACAATGCTGCAAGCCAAAAGAAGTTACTACTAGGAAACCAAGATTGTACTAATAGTGTACAAAGTAAGATGGAGTTAAGAGAGGAAGAAAAATAAGAGTAGGACCCATATTCCATACCCACTAAAAAATTAAAATAAAAGGTTGACTGCTATGCTACAAAAATTCTTAAGATCATTACTTGAGGATTTGAAGCTAAAATTGGATAACACAGTGGACAGAATCTGGTATCTCTGGTCAGAAGATGGGTAAATCACCTGTTTAAAGCAGCATTTTCAGGGGCAGCCTCACAACATGAGCTTGTGCAACAGCATGGAGCACCAAACCCAGAGAGATTAGTTCTTTGTGGCAATGGGGAAGAGATTACCCAAATAAAGCAAACCCCGCTACAGAGAAAAGGGACACCCCTGCCACTCAAAAGGAGCACGAAGATCCCCGAGCTGTTGCCAGTCTGAAGCTGCAAATCACCCCTGCAGAGCACAAGGGACCTGGAGCAATATCGCCATGCAATGCAGACAAGTACTGTTTCCTTCCTGCCACTGGCTCTCCCCGAAACGGCTGCCACTGAGCTCCCACAGTATTTTGGATTTTACAGTCAACTTGTGTGTCTCTGCATTTAGGTCATGGTTAATCAATTGCCCAGTAACAGGTTTTAATAAGCATACCCTTACAGAGGCGCCCGGACGTGACAGGAATAAGAAGAGAGCATATATTATGATGCTGACAATGAAAATAAATGGATCAATTTAAAAAAAAAAAATAAAAATCACAGTATCTTTTGTACTTACCTCACTCCCTCCCCAGCCCCCCCCAAAAAAAACCCCACCAAAACCCCAACTTACGTTCCCAAAAGCTCCTCATGCTTTTTGTTATCCTTTCTCCAGACCTCAATGTCCAACATATCCTTCCTGTCAGAGAAGTAGTGAAAATCAAACTGTTCCCTCCACTGAGGATTTGCACTCTTACACAGTGTCTAGAAAACATGCAGTTATAATATTTACTTTTCTTAAATGGTACTTATTTCCACAGTAAAGCACATAACAATTCTTCCATAAGAACAAGGTTGGATGTTAGGGCATCAAGTACTAAGGTCATTCCAACCAAAGCTCCCCAGCCCATCACACAAAGCTTCGTCTTCCTTAAAAGCTCCTTCCTTTCTCCCAATAACAATAAATACGCAAGTGTGACGTGAATGAAGGGCTGGAGAAATTTTGAAATGTAAGGTGAATCCACCAGCTCCAACTTTCAGTGGACCATGGTCATCATTCAACATCACTCACACACTGGAAGAAATCAACAATAAACCTTTTGAGGACAATCACCTTAAAATCACCTTTGAATGAATTCAGGAACCCAAACCAGTATTGTTTTACCCTTCTGTGTTAAGATATAGGCAAAGAAGGGGCAGCCTTGAAATTATTAACATCCAGGTAGTTGATATATGTAAATCGTCCCACTAAATTCGGTGAGATTGTTCATGTGTTCAGGTTACTCCGAGTATTCACCAGATTGGGACTTAAACCATTTGCAATTCATATCACACTACACCACCCACCACCAATATCAGCATGGCCACTGAGAGAACAGGAGACAGGATTAGCTGGACCATGACTGAGACTTCTCCCACCTTGTCTGCTTTCCTGAACCATAAGAGATCATACTACCTAAGCTGAATAAATTCCAGGAAAGAACGTGAAGCACTGCCAATTTGCAGTCTTATTACAGTGTTAAAGCAGTGGTCCCCAACATTTGCTGGACCCCAGATAGAAATACTAAGCAATTAACTCACTGCAGGCAACATTGTACTTTACTCCCCATTTTAAACTTCTTAATTTTCTGTGACTGCAAACCGTGTAGTCTTGCAGATTCATGACACGGGCTACGGACTATTAAAGAGGTACATAAAAAGGAATCTTAACTGGAATAATGTATATTTATTCTAAAATAACTAACCCATTTGTTATTTTTCAAAGCTGCTTTTCTAAATAAAAACATGATATCGTGACCTTGGTTTGAGGTCCGATGTGGGGGACGGTGCAGGTTTCAGATGCGCCTTCATCTGAACATTATGTTCTGTGAACTTGCTCTGTACATTTTGTACAGGAGGGGTTTGCTTCCTCCTCCTCCCCCCTCCACACTTCCAGTTCATGACATGCAGAGCTCTTGCCTTCTCAACAGAACATTATTTTAATTATAGTCCCTCTTAGATTTTGGAGATGAAATGTGTATCTTTAGGAACCCCATTCAGTTCTTAGATTCCCATGAAACGGTACTAGATACAAGTAAACGTAGCCTAGAGGACAAAAATTCAAATTAAAACCATGGAGTATTTGGTGTTTTTTTCTTGTTACAGGCGACATTTTTTGAGAAAGGTGCTTTAAAAATTAAAATAAAAAAATTCCCCTGCACTGGGAACCACTTCAGGTCTGCTTTTCCAGCTTACCTAACATTGCAAACCTAACTTCTGTATTGGCAGAGTACAAAACACGTGTGATGCATGTAGCTTTATTTCATTTCATGTTAATGTCAAACATCCATCAATATGATATGTTAAATGCACAAAACCAGACACACACAATATTCCTAACTTCCTATTTCTATATTGACATGTAAAACATTAGTAAAACGTTAATGTCCCTGATCTGGTCTCCTGGTTTTGATCTCACTTATATATAAGAGATTCAAGAATAGTTCCATCTGAGGTAGCAACACCAGTAAAAGAAACACCGAGTACCTTATTGGCTTCAGCAAACTTAAGGAAATCCTTAATACTTACCTTACTCTTGTATCTTTGATCTCCCAGTTTGAGAAGAATAAAAATCTCTGCCAAGCCCCCTCCAGGGATGTTCTTCCCCTCCAAAAGCGTGATGCTGACCAGCCCATTCCACAACTGGTTCTTGCGCAGAGAGTCGGAGAGTCGCACGCTCCGCATGAAACTTGACTGAAAAGCAAGTCAGCAACACAGAACATTTATACCCCCAAACCCACACTTTTATGCTGAAACTGATTGTGATATGAAAGCACCAGGAGTGAGAGAGGTACTGTGATCCCCTAGGAGTAAGCAGAGAATGGAGGGCAGTAGGATGCTATGGATTTTCTGCCTGTACTGGCCCCGTGAAGGGACGGTGCTCAGCATCGGAGCAAAATCAGCAGGGTTAGGTTAAACCACCAGAGAAGTCGACTTCAGCTAACCTGGCTGAGCTTCAGCAATAGCAGACCTCAAGCGTTGAGAGCAATCTGTTACCTTGGCTCAGGGAAAGACACAGGAGAGCGATGGAGAGGAGAGGTGGAAGACGGGAGAAACTAAAGCAAACTCTTTAAATGTCTCCAGCTACGTCCATAAAGCGTGGGTCTGTCCTTTCCCGCATTCCTGTCTGTGGGAGCGAGACGGTCCATGGCCAGGTGAAGAGCTGAGCATGCATCTTCCACCTCCTCAATTACTCAACCGCCTGCCATCCGCATTAGCTCTTCCCCTGCTGCCTTTGCAGCTCCTGCTTCCAGAAACCAAGCCCACGAATCAAAAATACTGATGCCTGCTGAAAAAACACTGACACCACCAGGCTCTTTATCTGGAGTTATGGTTACCTGGTAGCCACATTTGTTACCTTCGCCGCTTCATCCTACGTGGCACGGCCGCGCTAACAGTTTGCTAACTGGCAATATTTTATTGGACAGAGGATGATTAAATAGGCCTTTATTTGGGGGGAGCGAGCTGAAAACATTAAAACTCAAGGCTATACTTTTCTTCTTGCAGTAAAAATCCTGCCATATTTTATTCTCGTGAAGCAACTTTTAACTCGCCACACTTCAGAGCTTCAATCATGTCATATACAGGTGGGAGCAAGACGGAGGAGAAGATTTCACAAGTCACTAAAACAGGACGTGTTAGCTTTAAAAGCAAGTAAGAAATGTTGTTGCTAAATAAAACGATTGCAAAAGCACCTGATGTCTGAAGATTACTTTTTATGGATCAATTACCCAGCAACAAAATTCTTAAATCATGGGTGGTGAACTCACAAATTTTTTACTTGCTTTTTACTGGTTAAAATACCCAAAACTCTGAATCCCACAAGCATATTAATATACTTCTATTTAAACACCCCGTTTGGCTTTCCTGGCACACTGGTTAAAAATTCCTACCTTTAAAAAGAAAACGAGATTTTGATTCATAAATCCAGCTGCAATGTAATTTCTTTTTTTTTTTTTTTTTAAAAGTTCGTCTTTTAGGCCAAAAAGCTAAAGCATGACTGTTCCCATGGACATACTTCAAAGTCCCGGCAGATATATTCCTCCCTAAACACTGCAACTATTTCAAAATCCTTTTTATAAAAAAGGGAGTAATGTCCACAAGGGATCAAAGGGCATTCTACAGTCTGGCAATCGCCTTAGAAAAATGGCAGTGCTTCCATGAAATATGCCCTAAAATAATTTTGCAGCTTGGTATGTCCTAATTTCAAATTGGATGTTTATCTTGGAAAGGCTTCTATCTAACTTGTCCATAAAAAAGCTCCACTTAGCTCTATGAGCCCTGTGAAAATGGAATCCAACGCTGGCTATTAAAGGGGCCTGGAGATTGCTTCCATATGGCGTAACAGCATGGGAGTGGAGGGCTAAGGCCTACAGCAGGCCCTGCTTGGCTTGAGCTCCCCATCTATCCATGGACACTCGTTGCATTACACCATAACATCTGGATTATTGCTTGTAATGTCCCTGGGAAATATCCACTTCCCATCAAAGCCTTTATCTATCTCGGTTGTACTTTGAACATTTTAGTATTTAACGCAGTCATGTTTGATGTGATGTACTCGCTGCTTTAGGACCAAGGGTTTTCCCTCTCCCCCCCCACTCCTCCCTCAGAGGAGGAAGAGGTATTTGATGTAAGTTCACACAAAACACCCGGACAAAGTTTATTATCCGCGTTACAATTTCTTTTAAAAACAAAGCATCCAGTTCTCTTCAAAGCTTCCAGGCTGAACACGAAAGACAGTTGTTATCACTCAGTTTTCTAATCAAATTTGGATTCTTTTCATTTTTTAACCAGGCCAGTATTTTAGGGAGTCACTCAGCATTGGGGGCCTTCCTACCCGAGTTCTGCAGCATACATGACCCCTGACTTGACAGTTCAAAGGACTGCTGGGAGGTTCCCAAACCAGCCCGGATTCCACGCAGTCCCAGGAAAAAATCAGCACCCGCAGCTCGGTGTTACCAGAGTACATCGCAAAGCATCAACTCTCACCTTCCAAAACAGGTGGCCCCTACAAATGGCCTTGTGCACCCCTTTTTCGGATGCTGCAAAAGCACTCTGTGCTCATCGCAGAGGAGGGGTATGTCAGTCTCTGGCTAACAGGACTTGGCTACTTTCTGGACAAGATCTAGCATCACTTAGAGCATCACACTGGATAGAGAAGCTGAGATCTTTGCAGCTGGCTTAGGGCGTAGTGCTGATCTGCAGCACCTCGACACAAGCTCAATGGCTGCAGTCTGCTTCCTACCTCCCCCAACCCAGCTCTGCCACCACCAAAAGCCTCTCTCCAAAGGGAGCAGCACGGAGCCCGGGAAGGCTGCTTGCTTCACGTCCATGCCAGACAGCCCATCACGTTAGAAATGCTTTGGATTTCCTGGACATGCCCAAGTCATTCCCACAGCGTGTGCTCAGCAAGTCTGGCACATCTCCTGTGCCTC